ATATGAATGCATTTGTACATTTGTTTTTAAAATTGCCACAAGAAAAAAATCAAAATCATGTCATTAAACTTGGCTTTTGTTTTGAATTATTCAAGAAAAAAATACAATTCATGCATCATTGTTTGTAACATGTTCCATTATCATACGAATGACAACAAGGATCAAAATTTTGATATGAAAAGTCTGTATTGAGAGTATCGTATCCATATAAGTGACCATGGAGACAAATGGATACATCGAAATAAAAACGGTGTGGGGGTTTTCAAAGTTTGGAAAACTGATTGATCCCTCTCAAACTATTAACATAAAAAAAAATAAAGAGAAAAGGCTAAGTATCGGTCTGTATTGAAACACCGATATCCAATTTTGGGTATCGGTCTGTATCGATAATATGTTCTACATTATTTGTGCATTTGTTATGGTTGAATGTGTTTTTGAAAGTTACAACAAAAACAATGTGGGGAAAACACCACCTTTCCCCTTAGGCTATGTTTGATTTGAAGGAAAAGATAGGGAAAGGAAGGGAAAGACAGAAAAATCAATACAATGTTTGTAAAGGTTTTTCTACCTTTCCCTTCTTTTTCCTATATTTTCCTTCAAATCAAACTTAGTCTTAATTTTCTTAAAATTTGAATTACTGAAAATATGGAAAACTGAGGATGTGGTTTTCAAAAATCAGAAACTGTGCCCCTTCAAGATGTGTACATAGTAGTTGGAGCCGTTGTTGTTGTTGTTATTTGTTTTAAATCCTCCCACGAAGAATCGATTAGTTGAAAATCGCTGTAATTGGTTGATTTCAACGATATTAATCAATTGTGATGGTTGACAAACAAGAAACAGTCGGAGAAAAAAACAGATTGAACAGATGTGGAGTTCTGGTCATTGGGGGAGTCTTGTGAAATGAATCCTTGTCGCATTCCTCTCCAATTACTAATGTAGCAGACAGGTCGACTCTCGTTTCTGAAAATTTGTGGCCAAGGTTTGATAATGAGAAGCCGTCGTTATCGTCAATAGAAGGTTCCAAAGGCTGGGAGCAGTACAATGGACTGTTGAGCTCTTGAATGGTGGAAAAAATAATAAGATGGTTGTTATTAATTGCTTCTACGGTCTCAACCATCAAACGATGTTTTCAGACTGAGATGGGACCGGATGTATCATCGGCCGGTCCATCAGCCAAAATGTTTTTATTTTTTTTTTATTATTATTATCCAGTTAAATTTATTTTTCATTCTGAGCTCATTTTGATGTAAAATAGCTTTAAAAGATGATTTGCAACTTAGGCTGCCTTTGGATGCGGTGTAAATCCCAGTTTGGTGTATTTTTACATTTCGGTCTAGTTTTGTGATCGTTTGGATGGGTGTAAAAGTATACCAAAGATCGGTGTAAACTCTCTCTCTCTCTCTCCATTCTCTATTCTCTCTTCCAATTCCGTTGTCATTTCCGACTCCGTGCAACTCCATTCTCTATCCTCAAGATTTACACTGATCTTCCAAACACACAACAGTGAAACTAAACATTGACCAGTTCATCTTTTGTGCTGGAATGTCTGGCCGTTTTCCTTTTACTTTTATGTATTTTTGTATTTACACCACATCCAAACACTACAACCTTATATTTTTCTTTTACTCTTATTTGGGCAAATCAAATGATTGAATCAGCAGATAGCTAAACCGTTTGATCCATGACCCAGTATATAGACTTTTGAATTCAACTTGATTCAACCATAAGATCAAACCATTTTCCACATGTGGCCACAAAAATGTTGTATGATCTTGCTTGGTTTATATCTGACAAATTAAATCATAAATTAACTCAAACCTGCTGTGACCGGTGTTGCTCCAAATTTCTCAATAAAATACACAGCAGTGTTTGAATGAAAAAAACCAGTCGATGTGATGTCTTCAAACATTGGTGTGTTCTTATTTTATTGGGATTGTTCCAATGTGGTCGCAGCAAATGTGAACTGCAAATAAGTCGGACCAGATCCATTTCGCAGCAATAATGGGGTCGCAGCAAATGTGAACCAACCATAAATGGTTAGGGCTGCAAATAAGTCGGACCAGATCCATTTCCCAGCAATGGGATTGCAACAAATGTGAACTAACCATAAATGGTTAGGGCTGCAAACAAGTCGGACCAGATCCATTTCCCAGCAATGGGGTCACAGCAATGGGCTGCAAATAAAGCGGACCAGATTCATTTCGAATCTAAATTTGAAGTGGCAAAAGCCAAATTCGAATAACTTCCCTTCATTTTTAATAAATCAGATCGAATCAGAAAAGTGATCCATTTAGTTAATGGATTGAATTCAAATATATTCTGATTCATCACAACTCGATCCAATCGGTAAAACATGAAATATTATATATTATATATTATATCATCAATTATTTTGATTACAATTCAAATTCGAATTATAATTTTAAAAATCTGACAATTTTTTATTAGATTTGAATCAGTCGGATTTTTTATCAAATCAGATTAGATATACCATTTACTGCATAGGAAGTTATGGTGAGCATTTGTTTTCGTGTTCATACCAATGTTTTCGAACTGTCGTTGATCGATGATGGGATCATTCAGCCTGGAAACTGTCCAGACAATTGGTTCCATTTTACCCCAAACCTGGTCCCTGGCTAAAAACGTTGAATTGACCAGCGATCCGCTGACCCATGCAGTTGAATCATCAACTTGTTTAATGGTTTTTGGCCGTTTTTTATTTTGATTTTTTATTTTTTTTCATTGGAATAAGCCATCCATTCGGACTGGGTGATCAAACCATCAACCCGGAAATCGATAGCTAGAACGGTTCTATTTCCAGGTCAGTTTTTAAATTCATACATTGGATTAGAACTCCTGGGTTGTGTTTGGTTTGACAAAAATAAAAGATAAACGAAAAGTTGAGGGAAAGTAGTTAAGGAATTTATTATGATGAAAATGGTTTTTATGTGGATTGAGCTTTAAGATTTTTCAATATATCAATACAAGGCATTGACCAGATAAAGGGCTAGTTCTGATTTTCAAATTTTATAGGCGGTTCAGCCTCAAAATCATCTGGACTGGCCCGTTCTCATTGAACCAGTTTGGGGTCCGGTTCATCCTTGTCTGGTTTTCAAAATCATTGTCATGACCTACCTGTGGCTGTGTGCTGTGTTCTTATTGGGTTTGTTTCCCTTTTCCTATTTCACATTTCTTCTTATAATTAAATTTTCTGTTAATAATTTCCCTAGTCAGCATACTCAGATGATTATTAGGCTATAATTATAATAAATTAATAACTATTATGATGAATTACATGGAATTAATTTTGTTTGCTACTGAATTTTCTTGCTTTTATACTAATTTCATATTTATATATTCTAAAAGCAAAAAAAAAATCCTTATTTTTCTTAATAAAAATAGCTCTAAAATTGTTCATTGTGAGTCTGTGACCAGTAAATTAATGAGAGATATCTTCAAGGTTGGGGTGAGTAAACATCAAGTCACTAATTTATTGAAAATGGATATGAAGTGAACATATATGGATCCATTTTCCTTTTCCCAAATTTCTTTTGATTTGGGATCTTAGACATGGATCACAACTAGCTACAAGAGACCAGTGTTTTGGTTAAAGTTGAGTAACTTACAAGTTTGGCAATTTAATGGAATCAATTCCAATCCCAGCAAGTCTTCCCAATAACTTGCCCAAGTTAAAGACCAATTAAGAGGCTGTTTGGATAGAATGCTAAATTTTGCTGAATTAATTTAGAAAGTAGCTTCTAAAGTCCATCTAAAGCACACACAATATGAATCATATGGATTCAAATTAAACTACCAAAACCCATTACTCAAAGCCCCGGATTTGAATTTCAGGTGGATTGTAGTTGTAGACTTGTAGTAGTAGACATTGACAATAGAATATGCACAGAGAACCCAATTCAATGTCACCTCCCCCTTTTCACCAGAATCACATTCTGGACAAGACCCAGATTCTAGAATGTTGTCCAAACAACCCCTAAGCTATCACATGAGAGAGAGAGAAAGAGAGAGAGGGAGAGGTCAGCCCATCTACAGTTGAAGATCAAAAATGCCAAAAAGATGAGTAGGTGGGAAGGAGAAAAAGTTTTGGGGTCCAAAAATCATAGACCCGGTGGATAAAAAGATGCAAAACCATCTGTACTCACGTGTACCATAATGCTTACATGAAACATCAAAGCTTTTTTTTCTCCCCTCTTTTTATACTTTAGTTTTGTTCTTCAACCATTGAATATCAAAATTAAAAAAGAAAAAAAAAATTGGGATAAGCATGATCTTCTGCTCCCTCCTGTTTCCTCTTCTTGGCTGGCCCCTTGCTCATCTTTGCTGGCCAATCCCATTACTCAGAGGGATCCAATCTTGAGTGCACATGACAATTTCTGACTCTTTTACTTAACTACCAAACTGCTTTTCCCCCTCTCCTTTTTTAATAATTGATTCGGTTACCTACCCAAACATCTCACATGTTCTCTCTCTTTTTTCTTCATTCACTCACTCCTCCTATCCTATCACCCAGAAGCCTAAATTCCTCCTCTCCACTGCTTAGATTAAAAAAAAAAAGAAATAGTCCACACTCCATTAGCCATTTAGGCACTCAATCTCCTCTCCTGCATCTCTACAGCTTCTATCTTACACAATCCCACCTGTATTTGGGTTTAGTTTCAATACCCAGATGGCCATTATTCCACATCCACACCTGGTGGGACCCACTGACACATGCTGCTCTTATGACCCAACAAACCCAAACCAAACCATACCTCTGAACCGTTGGATCAATGGGCCACCCACCCATCCAAGGTTTTGGTTAATTGCTTCCTTGCAAAGTGCAAACTAGTCTGAAGTCTGAACTTAGGGGGCAGCAGCAATAAGCCAATAACCCATGGAAATAAGTGCCCACTGATCCAAGTATGTTGATTTTCTCCTCATAAATGTTGAAATATTCCAACCCATCGGCAAAAAAATTTAAGGAAAGAAATAATAAATTTGATTTTTCAAATTTCAAAATATATCTCCATTTCTTTTCACAGGAGATGAAAGGTGGATTACATTGAAGGGAAAGGTAAAGGAGCACTATATTCATTATTCAATCTATGAATCTACTGGTCTGAAGTATATGGACACCATTGGTTATCATGGTGGTTTGACAATTGCAGTTTTGGCTGCTCTGAAAGCCTAAACGACAACACACACAGATGGTCTGAGCGATCATGGGCGCTGGAGCTGCAAATATTGAAAATTGTTGTGGCTTCGATTCGGCCGTGTTCGCAGTTGGCGTTGATTGAGAGGGAAGACTGATGGAGAGTTCCAAATTGAGTTCTGGGTAGTTCTGTTCTTGTTGCTGCTGCTGGGGTTGGTGCTTAAGCAGTTCTTCCTCTGTGGTGCCGCTACTGCTGTGTGCCTCTTCAGCTGAATTGGCGCCGATGATGGTAGTGCCCTTCTTGTCAGCGGTTTTGTTGATGGCAACAATTTCAGGCAACACAGCGGCCGGTGAAGAGGAATTCAATGCGTCGGAGTAGGCATTTGTGGTGTTGGTGGTGGAGGGGGTGGTGGTGCTGGAGTTGGTGGCGGAGTTGAGGGGACGGTGAGTCTGAGGGTCAAGTCCCCGGCTCAACAGCTTCCTTTTGATGTGAGTGTTCCAGTAATTCTTGATCTCATTGTCTGTTCTTCCCGGCAAACGACCAGCAATGAGAGACCATCTGAAAAAGAAAAAAAAAGACCAAAACAACAAGAACCCAAATGAGAAATTGTAGAGTCTGAGAATCCCATCTCAACAAATTGTGATCCCAGATGAGTTTTTTTGTTTTCTTCTTTTGGTTTTAGAATCATAATTTGATATATTGTGAAAAACCAGAAGAGGGCTTACTTGTTTCCTAGTAAACTGTGGAGTTTGATGATGAGTTCATCTTCTTCTTCTGTAAAATTTCCTCTTTTCAGATCAGGCCGAAGGTAGTTTATCCATCTAAGTCTGCAACTCTTGCCACAGCGGAGCAAACCTATAAAGACAAAAGAAAGGAGTTTAGGGGCGAAGGGAAAGAGAGGAGGAAGGGAAAATCCACCAGAGTTTTTCATTATTTGTTGCTTCTTCTGGGTACCTGCTGCTTTGGGGAGGGATCTCCAACAGCCTTCGCCATGAGTTCTGATGTAGTTGATGAGGCGCTGGTCTTCCTCCTTGGTCCACGCGCCTTTGTTGGTGTGAGCTTTCTCACAGCAAGGAGACCGACCCATTGGAGACCAGAGAGAGAGAGAGACACACACACAGAAACGATTGCTTGTTGTTGTTGTTGGATTGGTGAGAGAGGCTAAAGAGAGATGATTTGCAGAGTGGAGAGAGAAGAGGAGAGAGGGAGAGAACTGATGGAAAGAAGTAGAAGAAAGGGAAGGGCGGATTTATATGGGGAAAAGGGTCGAAATTCGGAGTGCCAATTGACTCGATCCTTTTGTGGGTATTTGACCGAGTTGGTGAGAAAGACGAGTGGTTACAAAAGAGAGAGAGAGAGAGGCAGAGCTGGATTTGGTAGGTAGGTCTACTTTTACGTGAGTTGGGGTAGGGTTGTGGAGAGAGAGAGAGAGAGAGAGAGAGAGGGGTTATATATTTATTTCTTTTTGAATTTTTAACTTATTATTTTCTAATTTTTATATTATTTTATTAATATATTCCTTGTATTTTAGGCTTGTCACCGACAAAATTTACGCTCTCCACTCACTTTCTAAAAACCCTCTACCTTTGCCTTCTCTTCTAGAACATCATTCTTAATATCATACTTGCTATCGTCAAAGTAGAGTAGTAAGAGGAGAAGTGAGTCTTCCCCATGTTCTATTAATCAATATTTTAGCAACCCATTATTTGTGGGCATGGGCCCCAACAATGAGATCATGTGGGAATGATTTTTTTCAGCTTCAAACCAATAAGATGCATTAGATTGGAATCCACTTAGCACCTATTTTGTAGTGGTTGTGGACCCACCAATGAGTGAGCCAAGTTTAGGAGATCAACCATACTTAAGAATTATATTTTTGATAGATAGATCTACCATACTTAGATAGATTGGGATGATGATGATCGAATTGATTTCTTACCATTTAATCTAGACAAATCCACCGACCCAAGGAACTAAAATATATGGTATTTGAATATTTTATTAATTAATTTTCATTAGTGGGACCCCTGAATTTTTGGGTCACAAAGCACAGCATACTTGCCACGTGGTGATATAATAAAAATATAGACATGCTTAACAATGGCGCGAGTACTTCTTACCAAAATAAGAAAAAAATTTAGAAAAAGAAGAAATGGCGAGTGTTTGAGTGAGTACTCAAACTATAGGTTTCCCCCTGATGTAATACAAGGTCTCGGTACATCAATGGTAGGTAGCCACATAGTTGAGTCCCATCCTCCTGTCCTGACGTATCCATGTTTCTAGAAACAAACCAGAGAGAGAAGAGAGAAGAGAGAGGGAGAGAGAGAGAGAGGGGGGGAATCTTTTGGGTTGGTGACCCACCAGCCTTGTGACCTCCCTCATCTTGTGGAGCAAGTTGGGCTATATTTTGTTAGGTCCTCCCATGCTATTCTCATTCCCTTTTGGCTCTTTCTTGTATTGAATGAGTCATTCCCCAATCTGAGATTCTTGCTTGACTCGAATATCAATCTTATATTTTGTTCAAAGGGGGAGATTTAGTTGACGGGGTCCAAATAAAAGTGAAGCCCATTTGGTTCCTGAGGCCCACACAGAACCCACTTATTTGTATCACTATGGGTACCAACTAATTTTCATGTTGGGGCTGAACCGGTTCTTTCCAAAACCAGATTTTCAACCCAGTTTCATGGTTTCCACACACATACACACACAGACTTTTAGGGCATAAGCTGTGCTTGAATCCTTAGTATTTGGGTCGGGCCCAATACCATTTGTGATTTGACTTTCTGTGGTGTGTAACACTGTGTCAAATTAATGTACAGTGGAACTTTAACAGAATATTTTATTAATATAATAAAAAATTATTATTTTTTAACTCAGGGGCTGTTTCATAAGTGGCTGAACTGAAATCAGCCAAAAGTTTTCTACTTTTCTATCAGTTTTCTATATTACCCATTAGATGAATTTTGGCCTTGGTTTTCTATTTGGTGGGATTTATCAATTTAGGGTTTCATCTTCAATTTCAACCAACTCTCTGCACTCTGTATTGACTCCTGATTTTTTCTTTCTTCTTTTCCTGGGGCACACTTTACTAATTAAAAATGAATAAATAACTGTGCTTGAAACCCTTTGGTGGGTCAGGTGCTGGGCTATAGGTTGATCCTTCATTAGTCAATTTTATGAGGAAATAAGGAAAAAAAGAGCCATGAAATTGTTACTTGTAGGAGGCTGAAACTTTCATCAATTTTGGACTTCAGATGATTTACACAAAGCATGCGTGTTTGACAAATTACATATAACCACTGGCTCATTGGCACCTTGAAACTTAGAAGGAAGAAACAAGTAAGAAAGCAGATTTCAACCACCAGATAGAAAAGATATTTAGATGATAACCTAAGAATCTCTCATTTGGTGGATTAGATGGTTTACAAAAAAACGAGCTGCGTGTTTGGTCGTTTTCAACTGCAACAGCCAGAGATTGATGTGAAGTGGGTATTGGACAAATGGAATCCTATTTGATGAACAGTCTAGATTTATTATCAGCCATGGCAGAAGGATCTAAATGGGTCTCTGAAGAGAAGAAGAAGGGTTTCAAATTTCCAATAGTTGGTTCACGTTCTTGAAACAATGGAGAGTTGTTTGCATTTGTTCAATCTAAAAAAAAATGCTGAGAATCACGTTAATTAGTTGAATATAAGTCACGTAATCACGTGTGTCAACAATCATGCTAAGGTTGTTGAGAAAGTTTCCCCAGTTCAAGTGCTTCTTGCTTCTTACATTCATTAGAAAGTTTATGATTCATCCTCTTTCGTGAGGAGAAAGTTGACTTCTTAAATATTTTCGTGACTAAAGAAGTAAGGATTATGTAAGTAATTTGAGTTGCTTAAAAAAAATAAGGTGGTATTTGGCAAGTCTTTTTGTATGTTCTTCTGGGTTTCGACAAGCTTAAAAGACCGAAAATTGGTCTATCGAAAAATTTATGATGTGGAAAAGATATGGTATGGAAAGAGTTTTGATCAATCAAAACCCATTCATGAATTTTGATAAATAACACTTGATTGACTATCAGTTTATGATTTCAATTGATTGATCAGAAGTTTTTCAGATATCATATTTTTTCATATTATAGTCGTACCCTTTTCCATTTGATAGCTAGAAACCGGAAAGATGAGAAAATGCGTGTATGAAAAGATTTGAAAATATCAAAAACGTCGAATTTCAGGAAACTTCAAATGAAACTTTTTTGTCTTTCTATGTGATATATAATTTCTAAACACGTTTTTAAAAACCTGATAAACTCATAAACCAAGTTACTTATCAAAGGGTCTTGCCTTTAAAAGACAAGACCCCCAAAAATTTAATATGTTTTTTGACCACATGGGCTGCTAGAAGAATTTTTTTTAAATATGACTTGCCAAATGGCACCTAAATAAAACTCCGAAGGCTGCATTAATTTTTCCATAACAAGCACAGAAATCTGGTTGAAATAATCTGGGGTGAAATTCTTTCAAAAATTAAGAAAAGATAACAACATATTTTTCTGTGTCAGTTTACTGGGTTTTCTCTTTCAATCCGTTAAACAACTTTTGGGGTCTTATGGTTTCAATAACTTGCTTCTTTCATGCATTATAATAGCTGAACCACTTGTCCTTCTAACAGGTTGCCTACACGCTAGAGGTTTAAACAGTTCAATAAGGTTGTAGCATAAGTAGGCAATGGCCTTTGATGTTGTGAAGGTTTTAATCATATACTAGTACAGTTTTGTTAAATGTAGGTGGAGACTTCATGATGGCATGGTTATTACCAAAGTTTCATCCAAGGTTCATTACACCCATGTGAAATATTGGCCGGGGGAAGGGATCTGGACATTTGGCATGGGCTTTCCACAGAGAACGCTTCACATACATGCACATCCACATGTATTGGTAATTAGAGGATGGCAATTTTCACTATCTTGATCTCGATGGGATTCGACTTTTTCAACCCGATGGGGTTAGAGATGGAGATTGTTTTGGCGGGGAGAGAACGGGAATGGGGATTAATAGGAATCTTCGATCGGAGTCGGGAATGGGGATTGAGGTCTCTGCCCTGCCCCAACCCCAATTATATATATTAAATATTATTTATATTAAATATATTATTATATTATTTATTTTATATATATATATATATATATATATATATATATATATATATATATATATATCAAAACATATTTAAAACATTATTTATAATTTTAAAATTTTTATTTATTTTCAAAAAAAAAAATATTGTTATCTAAAAACATTTGGAGGATTTGGGTCTCCACGAGGAATCCATCTCTATCGGGGATTGGGAATGAAGGACAAATTTTATCCCCGACGGAAAAGGACGAGGGTGGGGTTAATTTCAGAATCGGAATTGGGGATGGAGAATATAATCCCGGCCCAAACCCAACCCGTTGCCATTCCTATTGATAACATCTCCTGATGACAAATTCAGATTCAGGAGATATTTTCAATGCATGGTTGGATGTGTATGTGGGATATGTGTAGGGTGTGCCTTGTAAGGAGCCCATTCGAACTCCCGTATAAGGGTGATCATCAAAAATTGAAAAACCAAACTGAATAAAAAAATCAATTATCGATTTTCTGAAAATTAATAGTATCGATTCGGTTTGGAAAATAGATATTAGTTTATGAAGTTGATAGTTTTATTGAGTGGAAACCTCCTAAGACACCTGTGAAGGATTTATCTTTAGGAAATGGATGGCTTTTGCAAATTCATTTATTGCCCTACCCCTCTATTTGAGTTTTCCTGGATCAAAATTGTGCAATGGTGAATTCTATTATCTCATCCCTCTATTATATTTGAGATTATTTAGGGGTTTATCTCTTCATCCAAAAATTCTCTAATAATGGTCATATCTATTCATCTACCGGACCTAGAAACCCATGATTGAAGATTGATCTTATTCCATGGCTTTTAAACACTTCTTCTACTAATTAAATATCATTTATCCATCATAGCATTCTAACTTACATCCATTGGTAAGCATAACTCTATAAAGGAATACCTTTTAGATAGTCACACTCTAGTAGATTAATGGATCATTAAAGCTATGTTTGTTTTGAAGTAAAAAGTAAGGAAAGGTAGGGAAAACCTTTACAAACCTATCTTTCCCTACTATTTTTCCTTCAAATCAAACATAGTGTAATAGAAAAAATATTACTTACAATTATATGATTCAATTTTTATTTACTCAAACTAGAGAGTTTATCCTTTAAACACATGGCATTCTATTTTTCAAGAAAGTATGTAAGAAGTAGATACTTTCCACTCTCTTTCTTCTTCAAACATGTTTCTAT